AGTTAGCCTCCAACTTAGTATAAGCGAAGTGAAACGAAATTTTCTTGAACAGCATAACCTTTGTATGCCCTGATCTTGCTAACTGTAAAAGAGAATATGGATGTTACAGTTTACCCTAAAATAACTAAGGCTTTGAGCCCTTACCAGTGGTCACATGGAGATAAACAATAACTGGTCGGGCGTAATCGCGTGAATTTACCAATGTTTCAAGCTCAATAAGAAACTTATTCGTGATTCCAAACCCACATCTTCCAAACTTGGGCTTTCGGATTTACTGGCCAATGACGCTCCAACAGGGCCTCTTAGCTCGGGTGGTTAACGCATTGCCTGAACTCAGACCTTGCTTTTGCTGTCCTGGATTCGAATCTCAATGGGCTCACTGAACTTTTCATAACTGGGTCAAATGCATTATTCAAATTTGCCCAAACCCCCTATTAAATCACAACCTTTGATTTTAGTCTCGGTTCTACTTGTCAGTAGTCTTTCTGAATAAGATGTTCTTTCTTCAAAAATTATGCAACAGCGCCCATAAACTCCCTGCTAACACCCAAAATTTAGTTCCCTATAAGTTAACTTCGAAAGGTGCAAAAACCTTTGTTGTAGTTTTTATGTTAAGTAAGAGGCCGTACAAGTTTGTACTTCGTAACAGTTCAGCCCTCTGCTAAGGACACATGGCAGGAAACTTTGCTAACCATCATCTATTTACTGTGAGTCAAAGGCTGCGATAATAAAAAGCCCTACCTTAACTGTTTTCACCTGAAGTGCTAAAACTCTCAAAATGAATAAAATCAGTCTGAAATCAAACTTAAATGAGTTGCAAAGTTAAAGTGCAAAATGACTTGATTGGGTCTATAGTGCGGATGCAGAAATGTTTTTGAAGAAGCCGTAACAGGTGTGAGAAGCGCAGCAGGACAGTATAAAAATGTTTACTATTTCAGCCAGGAGCTCCAATTTCGCTTTTGCATCATCCACTCGGCGATTCTGATCAGACAGCATCTCCAGCGTCCTCTTTTCCAGACGTTCTGCGTCATCCAGCCTGAAAACCGGGCGAGACATTTCATAAAATCGAAAAAAGACATGAAATGAGCGCAACTCTTCTACCGCACATAATGGCAACGCGGGTAAGCACCAGTTTAAGTGACAGAAGCAACTTGCAGATGTTAGACACCGGAAGGAGTGGGGATATTGCAATGACGGGTTTACTTCATTTCAGTTTATTGACTGAAAAAAATAATTCTCCACATCTACACCACCCACATATGACGGACGTATAACAACAAGCTTGGAAAAGGAAATTTCAAACAAATGACAAAGGTATATCAAAAATGTACAGATAAGCGAACTATTCCAAGTGATAGCGGCATTGGCAGTCATATATGCTAGCCCGAAATGATTTCCGAAATTCTGAAATGTGTTCGCGAGTAGAAAAGATTACTTAAATAAGGCTGGAAGATTATCATGCAGCATAATCCCAAGACGTTTCAGTCGCGTCGAGAGGCAGACTTCTAAACCAGCTTCCTTCCGAACACCTGTAAAAACGACTAGATAAAGATGGCCACTTAAGTAATAGAAGTTTTTAATATTAACTTGCGACGCCCGTGTAAGTTCAAATAAATGTTATAGAAAAGGTGCACCAAAATATTTTTCTTGAACACATTTGGTAGTAGGATTGTGTCTTATTCATGTGACAGTTCTGCCGTCAGTTTCGACTATGTCAGCCATGTGCTGCACAGCAGGGTGGCGCAGGGATGATGACTTACGCGTGGATTACGTTCAGGTGATAGTAGACTTGCGCTGCATTTGCCGCATTCTCTCTCCCGAGCCCGGTGTCACGACAAATTCAAGAAGACCAGAGGTGGGATCAGGCACAGGTGGCTGGCGTGGCATGACCCTGCATCTACGTGTGCCACGGCGTCCCTATTTTCGGCATTTTTACGGAAGCGCAACCAGGCTAACGCCTGCCATGCCCTGACCTGGCCTCCGTGTTGATTCAGCGCACCTATCACGCGGCCTGTTTGGGGGGCAAAATTATTCATGGCATGGGAGGCATGCCCAAAAATAGTTTTCTTGTATTCATCTGGTAGCAACTGGCTTCTTCGAATTTGATGCTAGAAGTGAGGGTATATTTCTGATTTTAGAAGAAGTTTTTTTTTAATTTCTCAAGTATCTTGAACCCGACCGACTGTTACATCCGCATTAAAATATAGGCTGTGTATTTCCCGTGCGAGTCACATTTTCAATTCATATACGCTACTACGAAGTAATATATGGTTCATAAAAATCGGTGGTCTATGTGAATCAAGATGTATACTTTTAAACCGCACTTATAATGAAAAGACACCTTGATTTATAAATGGACATTTCATAGTATTCGAACTCTCATTATTATAAACTTCTTCTAAACCGGAAACTGCCTATTCTTCAAGCATCACATTTCAAGAAGGCGTAAATTGATACCAAATGCATAGGAAAGGGATATCTCAGTGCATGTTTTCTATCAAAAATATATTTGAATTTATAAGAACGTCAAAATTCGAGATGAATTCTTATTACTTAAACAGTCGTTTTATAAAGAAATTAGGCGCGGTCGAAGTGAAGCTCCTTAAAAAGACGGCATCCTAAGGCAACCAAATATTTTGGGATTACGCTTTAAGGTAATTAGGATTACACGCATGCTTTACTCATCTTTTCTCATCGTAAACACATTTAAGAATTCCTAGTAACATTTCATGAAGTGCGTGTTGCAGTAGTTAGTTGGGAGACACGTATGCTACAGGGTTCCATGATGGAATTAGAATTGATAGATTGACTACCATTCAAGAAGACAGTTAAGGCTTAGGGCTACCCGAACTTCAAAGTTCTTACGCTTGCATTTATGTTTACAAGCAGAAAAAACTTTTGCTCATTTCGTAAGGTATGCCATTAAGACTGCGGTAGGCAAGTCGATTTCAGAATATTTTTCCTAGTGAAACCGAACACAACTCTCTTCGTTGTGCCTCTTGTTCATGCTAACAAAGTCTCCGATTGTGCAGGAAGCATGCGTCCCGCACCGTAGTAAGACAGAAACCAGGGCATGTCTGCTTTGAATAGTCTAGGCGTGAGTCCGACTTGAGGGCACGTAGACAAGAGATTCTTTTGAAGCCTGAGAAATTATCCGCACAATATTATTACCGAAAAACATGTGGAAGACTGGAATGCGTAGTTCTGTCTTATCAGCCGTCATCAACCAGCCATACCCAACCCCATGAGTTGGTCCACCGGAGGCTCGAACCCGCAACCTGTTGATCAGAAATCCAACGTTCTAACCCTCAGCGGAATGCGCTCGATGTCTTGCTGGTTTCGATCGGGAATATTAACCAGGGTAGACGGGCATGCACCGATCGGTTACGTGACTGACTTGTCCCGTTGGGCCTCGTGGCTCAATCTTCTGCCTATATCACTAGCGACTGTGCGGCTAATGGCGGGGTTCATCAGTGGGGTCCAAGGCATAACGGAACGAGTGAGATCCGTAACCGTTCGGTGAATACCCATCCACCCAAGTATCTGCACCTATGTGTTGTTATCATTTAGTCCTGTTTGGCGTGCTATTTCC